GACGGCAGTAGACAAGTGACGGTGCCTCATAAGAAAGTTTATAAGATCTCAATAAGTGTTAATGGATGACCCAAGACATAGACCCGAGGCAGGAAACGGTCAACAGCCGGCCAGCCCCCAAACGTCCGCCGTTCGTGCGCAAAGTGGTGAATCTGAAGGGATTCTTCGTGGCGATGCGGGACGAGATAGATCGCAAGATAGCAGCGGGCAGAGTGGTAGTTCCCGAGGAACATCGAGTGGTTCCACCCCCCCCCCCCCAGTTCCCCCGCTGGGTCCCCTGCCACCCCCGAGACAGTCCCCGTCCGAGTACAGTCCACTGGAGACTCCCCACGAGGAGCCAGAGTTGATGCGGAAGTTGTTGCGGACGCGAGCGCTGCACCGCGCGGAGTACCCGCGGGTGGCCGCGCCCAGCGAGTTCCTCAACGAACTGCTACAGGCACCGTTGGTATGGGAGAAAATGTTGTGGGCGTTACACATCATGCCGATGCTGCCGGAGTACCCGGCAGAGCTGACCCTAGCAGTCCGACAAGTGGAGGGGATAGCTCCTCTACAGTCATCGAATGCCGTGAGACACGCAATGTCGTTATACCGGGTATTGAAGGAACTGTCCGCATCAGAATAGACAACCCGCGGGTATACCAGGAGTTCCGAGATAACAAAGATTTTCTCGAAGCAACGACCTCGAAAACATCCATCAACGTCGAGGGATCGGCAGTCCCCGTAGTTGTCAACTCACCGCTTGAGCCCGTCATGCCACTCACTTCCGCTAAGCCGAGTGTGATCGATAAGGTATTGGTGAGGGATAGCCTCGTGCGTAAAATGGGTGTTGATGGCTTCGTGAAAGGAGTCATGACGATCGAGGCGCGCATAGACGTTACGCGTTACCGGGAGATAGTCGCTGCTATAGAGCGAATCGACACGCTGCGCACGGCATTACCATTTCATACTCAGGGGATGGCTGCAGCACTCAATCTTATGCCATGGTACTACGGCCCTGAGCCAGCTCCCCGCTACCGTGATACATGCATCAGGACGGGGTACGGACGAGACGTTGTCTATCACACGCCGTTAGTGGAGCTGTGGGACATAATTACCCAAGGCACTCGCCAGCGGCGGCCGAGAGTAGCTCCCACCGAAGAGGAGTGGGTCAACGCTATACGAATAGGTCTTAACGTTGACCCTGAAGAGGACGACATTCCGGCTGGTGTGGAGGAGGACGAGGTCTCCGAGGCTTCAATCCAACGTCACCGAGCGCCAGATATGGCCGATGTCTTCTATACCGTGCCTCAGGCGTATAACATATCCAGGGACCCCCTGTTCTTGGCGTGGTTGTTCCCGGCCCACGGAGTTTCGGAAGCGGGGGTTAGTATAACCGGTTGCTCGCCCTATGCTGACAACAGTGTTGCACTCTATGGGGATACTGTGGTCAGCGCCTCAATGGACGACTTTGAGGCTATCCACGATCTGCGCAGACGTGGGCTCAACCTCGAGGTGCATGAACTTGCGGAAAGGTTGCTCGAGGCGGCTTACGGCAGGCTACAGCTCGTCCCACAGGTCCCAGTGTCTCTGTTCGTCGCATCCAGGCGCATGGAAGGCTTTCCCATCGATCTAGTGGCCAAGTATCGCACCGCCCTCAGCAATATATCTGGTATGAATGAACAGGAACCCGTGCGTGCACATACGGACAGGGACAGTGACTTTTATAAGTACTCAGTTCTAGCATGATAGCGGAAGTTTGAAGCCAACGACCCGTTGTTACACCAACACAGTGATCTCGATCGGTTATTACGAGCCATGTTATATATTATGACCTCCTACTCGTGCACCAATCCGTTTTTGGTCTCGGACACCGACCCCTTGTATACCAACGAATCGCGTAACCTGCGGATCGACACCATGCGGGGAGCCTTTCCTCTATCCGGTGAGGTATATGCTGGTGTGACACGTATCGACGTGGAGATCATCACTGTGCGGGAGCTTCTCCGAGGTGATACGCCTGAGGCAAATACGCGGCGCCACCGAGTGAGGGATGGGAATACAGCGCTCATATACGTCCCCAAAGCCCTAGAGTCGCGTGATGATATCTTGGCTTGGACGCTGTGCCACTTAGATTATCCTCTGATCCATCTGAATGTCCCGTATAACACTGAGGGTTTTGAACCTTCCCCGAATGATAAGTTGGGGACCCCCTACGCGAACCTCGTTCACGTGAAAGGACCTACGAGGCATGTGATCTACGTCGTGCCAGAATTGACGACTTCCGCGTTCGCCGGCTATCTGGATATCAGGCCAGGTGAGAGGGGTTTCACCCATGATCTCTTCGGGGACATCGTTGACTTCCTCAGGCGCAAACGCGGATATGGAGAGCTAGCGATGACCATGTTCTCACTCCTGCAAAGGTTAAACTCACAAAAGCCGTTTGCGAGGGCAGATTGGGACGCTGCGCTGATATTGTCAGGACTGATGTGTTTCCGCCTGCCTACACCTGACACCTCTGATGGTAATACGGTCCGAACACGTGACTTTCGTTGTGCTGATACCTATCTATTACGTGGAACACCCCTTTTAGACACACGCAGTGCCAACAAGATCCGGGGGATAGGTACAGAGGCAGCGTTCATTGGAGTGAGTAGGTCAGAGTTGAGTGACGACTACTCTATACCGGAAGTGCACCCTTACGCCAGATTCTTCATCGACGCAGGGATCCTAACCTACACCAGCGCCCCCCCATGGCTGGTCAACCCTACCGAACTCGCTTCTGAACTGTACCTGAAGGCACATGACATCGCGGTCATTGTTGCAGAACAACACGATTACGCTTGCAATGTCTTCAGCCTGCCACTCGTCGGATGGATGCTTGATTGTGAGCACGGACAGCAGATATTCGGTGACGGCTCGAGACGAGACATGAGTGACATAAAGCGGGCCATCTTGCGACACCTGTCCACCAATGTATGTGGGGTTGAGTTATTCGGCGGTAAGATGGCAGCTGATGAACTGACCGTGACTCCCGCTGATATGTGTGCACTGCTCGGTACATTGCCCGCGGGACCGCGTGGGCCTGAAGACCCATTCTACCTGGTCGTGCGCGAATGCATGTTGTTGCCTCATACACGTACCTCACGGTACTACCTAAAGACGCTCCGGGAGTCAGACTTCGGGTACGACCACCCTAGTGGAGTTCTGGACTGGTCGCGAGTTAGTGGGATTGCTACGACTGGGTTGCCAAGGGTGTGTGCCACCGACCGCCCCGCTTACGGATATGCACTTGTGTATGCGCCAGCTCCTGATGAGCCGATAACACGACGCGAGACCACAGATCCACTCGAGGACCTATTCCACACCGTTCGAGTGGAAGGGGCTTGGCGAGGTGACGTCCCAGAATTGGCCTACGTAAGAGGTCACGCCTACCACACGCTATGCCAGGTACGGTTTTGTGTGACACGCTTGACCCGGCATCACGTCACTTTGTGGGATTATTTGCGAGTAGGTGATTCCAGTTGGGTTCACAACGAAC